TAAATCTAAACTATTAAAAAAATGCATATAAATCTCAACTCTTAAAAGAATTAGAATCTTAAACAGTGTTTTTAATTAAAATTTAATTTAAATTTTAAAAATTTATCTTATTAAATATTAATATTTAAATTTAAAAACTGATTGAATTTTTAAATTTTGAATTGAAATTTCAATTTATAAGTATAGGTTGAGATGTATAGGTTGAGATTTTAATTTTTTTGTGAATCAGAATTGATGCACCAATCTCAATAAATAATTAAAATTTTATATAAAATTTATATATAAATAAATTTTTACTAATATATACAAGAATTAATATTTAAATATAAAAATTAATATTTAATAAGATAAATTTTTAAAATTTAAATTAAATAAAACAAATCATTTAAGATTAAGATTTTAAATTTTTTTTGAATCAAGCCTGATATACACTATATTTTATATGTATATATATATGTAAAAGAGTTAGAATTTACTTATCTACAAGTTTTACATATTAAATTTATATAAAATTTTGATTATTTATTTCTTAACTTTCAATAGTTAAGATTTATTTATTTTTTATCATATTTACTAAAAATAATTATTTTTTATCTAAAAGTTGTAATAAATTTTAATTATTAAAAAGAAAGAGATAAATAATTAATATTTTATGTAAATGTAGTATATAAAATTTGTATATAAATGGATCGCTACTTATAAGTAAATATATGAAGAGTTTATGTAACAAGTTAAGACTCATTAATTAGAATATCTTTAATTAATTTTGTATAAAATTTTCTATCAAATGTATATTTTTTTTTCAAATTTTGAGTGCAAATATTATATTATATTTTTATATTTTATATTATATTTTATTTGAATCTTATATGAAAATTTATATAAAATTAATTATGGATACTATATTTAATGATACCTAACTTATGTCCTTCGGTACAAGTTAAAAATTCTTATATGTAAAAAGTATTCATCTATTCCAAAATAACTATAGTTTTTTTTAAAAAAAATTTTCTCTAAAATTAAGGATTTGAGGACAATATGTATATTTATTTGTAATACTTTTAAAAAGAAATAAAAACAAAAAAAATTTTTTTGTTATTGAATGATTAATTAAAGTGAATGAATAATAATAGGGTTAAAATAAAAAAATTATTTACCTAAAAAATATACAAAATGACAACTAATTTAGAACAAATTTAAAATAAAAAATGACAATTATTTTAAAATAAAGAGAGTATTTATCAATTGCATTCATAAAAAATTAGATTAAGAAATATCTAAAATTTACTTTATTTTAATTAATTTTTATTAAAAATGACTAAAATATTATAATTTTTAAAATA